GGAGAAGGCCGGGCGCGGTAGCGAGGGCGGCCCCCGGGGGCCCGTCCTGCACATCGTGGTGGTCGGCTTTCACCACAAGAAGGGCTGCCAGGTGAGGAAAGGGCCCGCGCCTGCATCTGGCCGTTCGCGCGTTCGCGGGCGCCCGCTGCCCTCCACCACTCTGCTCAGCTTGCTTCTCTTCCATCTGCCCCTCAAACCCTTCTTTCTTCTGCTCCTGAGAATTGCATGTTGAGCAGCGGAGGTGCTGGTTGGTCCGTGTAGGTTGTTAGGTTTTTACAGCCTCCTTTGGTGGAGTGGGAGGGAGGAATGGAGATAGTCCCACTCTCTTCCCTATCCGTCAGTGTCTCCACTGACTTGCGGGGTGTCCACCCATAATGCAAATCCTTACAAAAATCCAGCATTCGGTCTTGGGTTTTCAAGGTTGTGAGTGCAGTGGCTTCCACGCAAATGCCTCAAGTAGGTTGAGGCTAATGCATGCGCCGTGTAGGAAAATCAACTTCCTTTGTTTATGTCTTGGACGCTTTAGAATCTGTCATGCTAGGGTTGGCAACTGACCCCGCCCCACCTTGGGCCTTTTGCTATTTGATCTTGTCCAGAGCTTGCCTTTTGATGAGGTTGACCTCTCTAAATAATTGCAATAATAGAAAGTGTATTCACCGAACAAATTGTACAGATAGACATTTTTTCAGCTTCTTCACTGGATCTTTAACCCAGCATCTGAAATTGGACATTTGCAATCTGTGTATTGAAGGCCAAGGAACAAATAGAAACAGGATTATTTAATGAACCAGCAAACACTGGAAGGCAATGATGTCATAATGTGCCAGAGAACAGTAAGGTGAAATGTTTTCTTAAAGTTTTGAAAATACTGATTGCTACCACTAGAAGGTAGCTTTTGGGTTTCTGCCTTTCACGGAAAATGTAGCATTTTAGAAGACTTACTGGCAAGAGTTCAGTTGTTAGAGTATGATTACAAACGTGGTGAAGGGAGGGAAAAGATGTGTTTTAAAGACTACTTAAATATAAGATATATTCCTCATCCCTCAGATAAAGCATAGAAAGATACCAAGAAGGATGAAACAGCATCCAATGTAGCACTCACTAGTTTGAACTTACTAGTCACTTTATAATTTTCTTTGGATATGGGTGAAGTAATTGAAACTTCAAAGAGGTAATATGATCTTGCTTGCTGAGGCCACACTGCAAAACAATCCTGGAGTCAGAACTAGCATTGCTTCTCACACCATATGTGTTTATTCTGCTGTGGCATTGTAGAAGTGTCTCAGGGTAAAAAAAAAAAAGATATGGAGGCCCACTTCAGAACCACACAGAATGGAGCTTTGGACAAGAAAGAAGAAACTATCTACATTGGTAGGAGATAGGTTGAAATCTCTTAAATTTGGCTGTCGTCCAAAAGTCAAGATTTATTGTGTTTTTTACTTTGTGTGTGTGTGTGTGTGTGTTAGAAGTAATATAATTTATATTTTCAGAAAGGAAATAACATGCAGTACTGCTTAGAGATTAGAGAAAACTGAACAACAGGTTTAAGAGACACAGTATACGGGGGCTAAAGTAGCATCTGGAGACTTTGACATTTCTTTGCCTTTTCTGGCTTTGTGTTTTAGCACACAAGTAAAATCACTAGTTTTGTAAAATTATACTGTACCAAGAGTCAGGAGATCTGGATGATATCATGGCATCACATAGTTCCTGTGATCTCCAACACGTCCAAATAGCTTAATATTTCTTTACTTCCCAGTTCCCACTATCAGATACTTTACAAGAAAGTTAGATAATCCACTCCAACTCCCTTAAATTTCCAGATGAATAAACTGAAATGCAGAGAGATTGGGACTTGAGTATATTTTACAGCTAGCTCACTAATCAATATAATTGCATCTCTCTTTTTTTTAAAGTATACATAATAGTTATCATTTTAACCATTCATAATTTTACAGTTTAGTAACAGGTTCACAGCATTGTGTAATCATCACTGCAATCTGTACCCAAAACTTTTCCATCATCCCCAACAAAAAAAATCTTTTCTTTTTACCCCTTGTAGTAGTGAGGATTTAACCCCAGTCCTCAGCCACTGAGCTACAGCTTTTCCTTTCTTTTTTTTTGAAACAGTTCTTGCTAAGAACTTACCTCAAACTTGAGGTCTTTCTGCTTCAACCTCCTAAGTAGCTAAGATTGTAAGCATGCGCCACTGTGCTCAGCTACATCCTTTTCAGCATTTTTAGGTTGTAGGCTCTTAGAAAATAAAGATGAATGAATTGGGGCTGGGATTGTGGCTCAGTGGTAGAGCACTTTCCTAGCATGTGTGAGGCACTGGGTTCAATACTCAGCACCATATTAAAAATAAATAAAGTTGTAAAAAAAAACTTTAAAAAATGAATGTATTATTGTTATGGTCCATATGGTGCTTCACAAAGACTGGCAGTTTCGGGGGGGTTGGTTTTGTTTTTAATAAACTTGTTAAATATGGGTTACTTATAGAAAACAGTGCAGAGGGTTCTGTCACAATGCAGTGAAAGATGAGAATCCCAGTTGTTGCTCAAAATGGCTTGATTTATTGCAGCTTTTTAACATTACACCCACCTCTCTTATATTACAGCAGAAAATGAAGCACTAAAAGCTATAGTTTTGCAAGAATCAAGTATTTATCCTAATGGAACTATTACTACTTCTTAGAGAAACATTTTTGGCTTACTAGTAATCTGTTGTTCCTTTGATGGTGGTAAGTTGAATAGATGATACTGTGATTCTGTAGCCTAAAGAGAGTTAAGGTTTGGGCTGGGGATGTGGCTCAAGCGGTAGCGCGCTCACCTGGCATGCGTGCCGCCCGGGTTCGATTCTCAGCACCACATACAAACAAAGATGTTGTGTCCGCTGAAAACTAAAAAATAAATATTAAAATTCTCTCTCTTAAAAAAAAAAAAGAGAGAGTTAAGGTTTGATGAGTGAATCATCTAAAAAACCAGTGGAGATACTAACCAGATTGTGTTAAGAGGGTCTGCTAACCCAGCCAGTTCACTCAGAAAACAGAGAAAGTGAATGAAAGTCTGACATTGAGTTGATTAAAACTGTCAGTTTAATAAAAAAACAACCAAACTTTTGCTGGAGACAAATTTGTATAAATTCATGGTATTGTATATATAGTATTAGAAAAGGTAGAAAATTTTTTTCATTTTGTTTACCTTGCTTTCCCCTTTTTAGTCTTGGTTTTTATAAAGTATTAAGAAAAATGTTTTTTTGACGGAGGATACTGGGGAGTGACATCCCCAGACCCTTTTTAATTTCAAGACAGGTTCTCACTAAGTTTCTGAGCATGGCCTTGAATTTGCTGTCCTCCCATGTCAGCTTCCTGGGTTGCTGAGAATACAGGTACGTGCCACCATGCTTGGCACAATGTTGATTTTTTTTTTTTTAACCAGGAAGAAATGAGTATTATAAAAACAATGGACTAGAATTTTCACTGTACCTTATATTCATTCTTAAACTATGTTTCTCACTTATGCAAATTAGTGTCTTTTTAGATGTTTTACAATTCTTATTTTCTTAACCCCTCAAAATCCAAGTTCATTTTATGTTTTAGAAAGTGTGTGTTACACACATCTTAAAATATTTTATAGACACTACTGTTGTTTTTAACCAGTATGTCAGGTGTTATGAGAGGCTGTAATTATGTAAATTACCCTAGAATGGATTAATTTGCTGCCTCGTTCCCCATCTTCAGATTTCCTTCCAGGTGTAAAGGATTAAAAGTGCATGGCTTGGGCTGGGGTTGTGGCTCAGTGGTAAAGAGTGCTTGCCTCACACATGTGAGGCTCTGGGTTCAATCCTTAGCACCACATAAAAAAAAATAAACAAAACAGATATTATGTATAAATAATGTATAAATTATATATATATATATATATATATATATGTACTTTTAAAGTGCATGGTTCTTTGGGTTGTGGCTCTTTTTTTTTTTAATATTTACTTTTTTAGTTTTCAGTGGACACAACATCTTTGTTTGTATGTGGTACTGAGGATCGACCCCAGGCCGAACGCATGCCAGGCGAGCGAGCTACCACTTGAGCTACATCCCCAGCCCCAAGGATTGTGACTCTTGACTTGAGATGGTTTTAACTTGCTCGAGTGTGCTTTGTTAACCTGCTTTTCCAACTGTTGCTGTGGGTCAAGTTGATTGTACTTCTTTCTGTGCACTGAGATTATTCATAGTGAAAATTCCCTAACCTGACTGTAATTTTAACTTTTAGATTCAAGTGCACTGAGGTAAAACCTTTATCTAAAAGTAATGCTTTTCAGCAGTGTGCTTGGTTAAGCGTGATGACTTTGTTGCTTCAAATGGATCACAACGTAAAAGCCATCTTCTAAATAAAGCTATGTTGAGACCCAGGAACTAGGCTTGTAGACAATGTTTGTTCATCTTTTCTGAAATTTTTTCCACCTTTGAAATCTTAAGTTGTATTTTTTTTTTAAGTTGTAGATGGACACAATACTTCTATTTTGTTTGCTTATTTTTATGTGTTGCTGGGGATTGAGCCCAGTGTCTCACACATACTAGGCAAGCCCTGTACCACTGAGCTACAACCCCAGCCCTTTCGGTTGTATTTAAAATTTTTAAAAAGTCCTTCATTTAAATTAATAAGAACATCTATTAATTTTCTCTCTCTTTTTTTTTTTTTTACTCTTTTTGGGGTAATTTGTAGGATCGAATTCTTCTGTAGATAACATGCTGGTTTGCAGCAGTGATTTTTGTAGTTTATTGATATACTTCACATTTAAAACATTTTAAGTGATTTAAAATACTACTCCAAGGGTTGCAGCTGTAGCTCAGTGGTAGAGCACTTGCCTAGCATATGTGAGGCACTAGGTTTGATCCTCAGCACCACATAAAAATAAATAAAGGTATAAAAATACAACAACATTTTTTAAAATATTGCTACAAAATTAAGATAATTTTGAAATATTTATGAATTCTAACTCTTTTATCTGAAAAAAAATTTAATTTAGCCATTTAACAAAGGGCCCTTCTTCCTTAAAAACTTACCTGAAATTAGATTCTTGGTCATAAAATGA